GGCTACTAGGAAGAGCGCTTGTCACGACTGATGGCGTGTTCGGAGTAGGAGCAATATATGGTACAATGGGCGACTGAAGAAGAGGAGTTTTGATCGAGCTTGAGGGGGAGGACTCGGGTAAGTTCAAAGAGGGGTATGGGAAGACGATTTTATCAAGGACAATGTGATGTGAGAGGAATATTTTTTGGGTAGTAGGACCAAAACATTTGTACGCACTTTGAGTTAAAGAATAACCAAGAAAAATACATGGGCGGGCGCATGGTAAAAGCTTATTTTTTGTGTATGACCGAAGCCATGGGTAGTAGAGGTATCTGAAAATTCGAAGTTTTAGGTAGTTCGGGGGTTTGCCAAAGAGGCGGTGATATAGAGATTGAAGATTAATGATATCTGTAGGTAAGCGATTTATAAGATATGTGGCGGTTTGGAAAGCGTAGGTCCAAAAAGTGGGGGGTAGGCCGACTTTGTATAGTAGGGTTAATCCGGTTTCGACGATGTGCCGGTGATGCCTTTCAGCGGTGCCGTTATGTTGTGAGGTGTATGGAGGTGCGGTTAGGTATGAAATTCCGTGTTTTGCTAAATATGGTTTGAGTTTAATGAATTCCCCGCCCCCATCAGAATAAAGAGTTTGTAATTTTTGTTGAGATTGTTTTCCGACAAGTGTTTTGAACTGTTCAAAAATCGAATTTGAATTTTAAACTGATTCTCTTATAAAGATCAGTCTTGGGACTTTTCCAAGAAAACTGCTTTTGAAGATGGAGACGAATCATTGGACCCCGGAGACAGGTCGAGATATAGTTAAAATAATGGGCTGGTGTTCCCCTTGCCATCATAACCGGATGCTGCCGTTTATACAAGAAAGAAACAAACAGGAGTGGCTCATTTCAAAGAGCGTGAACTTCAGAATTAGATAAGTTGGATGTATATGCTTACACATACTTGATACCAGATGATTCTCTGCTCATCCACGAATTCAAAAGATAGGTTTAAATCGATAGACATTTTCTTTTAGTTTCAAAGTGGAAAATATGCCTCTTTCTGTTTTTTAAGTTGATCCAAAGCAAACAGACACTGCTGAGCAGCTATGATGATGGCATGCCCCTTCTGGGATCACACTCGTGTGCCAATTTTTTGGGGCGCTATGCATTTTATTTATCTTATAACGTCAATGCAGATTGTTTCCCGAGCCAGATGGTTGTTCAGTACGGATTTTTTCGTCTTCGATTGCTTGACTGGTGGGGAAATTGGTCGGCTTGTTCTTGCTAGAACACAAGGTAAATGGAGATGACTCAAAGCCCCACTTTCAACTTTGTGGTCTCAGTGTTCCCTGCACCACCCAGGATAAGTCGAGACAATATTTTCTCGGAAAGGAGGTTTATGTGGTTAATGTCACGGCTCAGAAGAGTGCTACTGATATCATCTTGTCGACTATTATGGTTGTCCTACCTAGAATTATTCATTCTAGTCTTCTAATCTCCATATGCATCACTTCTGTTTCTAGACATTTTAATTTGTTCCTGTCTGCTTCTGCCTAAGCACGCATGATTTAAAAACAAACAAAAGAAATGACTGAAACAACAGAAATCGTGCAATCTCCGAGTCAAATGTAGCTACAGATTTTGATACCGCGAATTATATATTCTTTCTCATTCCGCTTTGCTGTCATAGTGTTAGCTATAGTTATCTTATCTTCTTCCTTTCAAGTTATTTTTTTTTTACCAACCTTTCAAGTTATTTGACAGTGTCTTGAATGATCTCTGGGATGCCGGAAACTTTCACTCAAATGTCTCCCTGTTTTTGTGGAAATGTACCGGGGATTGGGTATTTTGAACTCTCCAATGGTGTTGGCAACTAAATGTTTTTCCTTTTCCTGAATTGTGGTTGTGCAAGTTGAACCAACAATATGAGCTCCTAATTGGAAAGGAATTGCTTCTTCCTTGTCAAGTACGTCTGGCTGACACAGTTATCTTTGAAAGAAACAGATTTGTATCCTGGAAAATCAGAACATAATCAGAATCAAATTGGAAACTGCAGATCGATCCGATAAACTTTGTATGAGCAGATCATTTCCTAAGCAGTTCATGAAATACGTTGCAAAAAATCAGGAGTGTTTATGTTTCCATCATTTACTTAGCAAGAAACTCACAGACCGCCATGAATCAGACCTGCAGACCGGCTGGTCTGCGGGTTCGGGATCCAAGAGAGGAGGTAGACAGCCTCCGCTCTTGGTGTAGGCATCGCCGGTCCCTCCCCCATTGTAGACTGGCCGGTCTCCCTCGAGCGCGCCAGGAGACATGTACCTCTTCTGCTCGATGAGTTCCCCGGTTTATTTCCGAGCCCATCGGGAACTCTGCTTCTTCCCCTGCACTCCGCTACCCGAGCCATTGCATGCCAGGGCACATGCATCGATCTACTTAGGAGCAATATCGAGGGCGGTAAGAAGATAGAGGACCGATATGAACGCGAATAGGAAGTAGGTGCAATATACCGAACATTTCCAAGCAAGAGTGAGAATAATATCAATTCTTTACTCATCTCTTATTTTCTTTCTTCTAGCTGTTTACTATATGCTTAATGCAGCCGAATGATCGACAACAAGTTCAGCATGAGAAGTTGAACTTCGATAAAAGTCAAGGAAGCATTCCTCGTGACTGCTGACTAAAGTAATTTGGTAATTTGTGGAGATAATTTCTAGAACAACCCCTCTATATATACAGCCATGCTGATTAGCTATAGAAGCAAAACTCAAAGTCAGCAAAATGGCCACTTTTCAGAGGACTGCAGCAGCAGTCATAACTGCGCTTTTTCTCATTCGCGGTGCTGCGAGGTGTGCTCCAGACAACTCTAGTGAGCAAAATATGCAGCGGAGAAAGATTTGACCCATTGGGTTACTACTGTCAGAACAGAAATCAAGTTGTCCAATGTTTAATCGATCATACGGATTTGGATTTCGATCATTATTGTGTGGACACAGACACTAATGTTCCTTGTTACGTCCATGCAGCATGCAATTAATGGGGCACTTTCTCGTCCAGATTGTCGAGACTGCGTAATTGATATGGTGAGGAGGATGGATGATGAATGTGGGAATAGCGTTGGGGTTCAGATTCAGTTTCAAGACTGCAGACTGAGATACGAAAAATATCCATTTACCGAATAGCCATATTTACTTCTTTTGTAAAGAGCTTCGAGCTCTCCTCCTGCCCGAATATTTATATTCACATGGGGATTTGCTATGTCTCCCGTTTGAAATAAGTGATAAGCATTTGTGCGTAGTTTTAGGGAGATTGGGTCACGTGAATTGGGCCAAGTAGTTATAGTACCAAATAAAGGAACTTTTTTTCTCGTGAAGAATGAAGTGTTACTTAAGCTCAATTAGTTGATGCCTTTAATGGAAAATCCACTATCTAAAAAGTCCAAGTAATTTCATCGAGACTTTCTTCAAATGTTTCGACGGCCCCTGTATTTCGATTTGTCTTAGTCTAATTTCTGAAGCTTCAAGTGCTCCATAATTTAGTCTTTAAGAAACTTATGGTGAAAAAAATTTGACCGGTCAAACTTATCCCAAACAAGTATGAGTTTTCTTTTAGGGTTAATATCACGAAAAACTCCAAACTGATGTATCTATAACAAATTTGCTCTAAACTAATTTTTTGACCACCAAAAACCCCAAATTGGTACACTTATGACAAATTTACCCAAAACTAATTTTTTTACTACCAAAAACTCCAAACTGGTACATTTGTGACAAATTTACCCTCCGTTAAATTGAATTAATACAAAAAAATAATAAACTGGTACACCTATAACCCCAAATTAGTACATCCGTCAACTGCCACGTGTTATTTAACTAATAATTTGATAGTAAAATTTAACGGAAACTAACGAAGGGTAAATTTGTCACATATGTACTAGTTTAGGATTTTTTGTGATTAAGAAATTAGTTTGAAGTAAATTTATCACTTGTATACTAATTTGAAGTTTTTGGTATTAACCCTTTCTTATATATATATATTTGGTCGAAGACCCTTTCTTTTATATGATTTCCACGCTTTTGAAGTATTTTATAGTCACTGGAAAGGCTTGTGCAATACAAAGTGGGCTTGACCTTATAGCAATACACAAGCCCGCAATCTAGCATAGCTATTCTATGCTATTACATAAAGCAAAGATCTTCAAGGATCTCAATCATTTTTTTTTCTTCCTCATCAAATATGCTTAGTAATAAGTTTTACAAACATTCCGCTTATGGACAGATATATAAATCAATAAGTCCATTTTATTTCTCATGGGTTTCAACCAATAATGGACATCACCAACCTGTAACATTACTAAATATATATACAAGGGTGTCAAACGAGTGGGTCGGGTCGAAAATGGTTTGACCCATATTAACCTATTTAACCCGTTTTGATTTATATGTATGTAATGCAAATCTAACGACCCAAATTCGATTCAACCCATACCCGACCCGACATGTATTGCTAAAAGACTTTAATATTAAATCCAATTTAGAAAAACTTGTTTATTATAAATTTTTAAAAATATATATTGCTAAAATATTATGGATAATTTTTATAATTTTATAAAAAAATATGATTTGTCTATATTTTTTATTTTTTATTTTTCTTTCTTTTTTTTCCTTTTTTTCTTCTACGATCGGCGACCAGCACTCCTTTTAATAATTTTTATTTTAATTTTTTTAAAAAAGTCATTCGTAATTATTTTTCATTTTCTTCTTTTCTTTTCTTTTTTTCTTTTCCTTCTTCATCGGCCGGTCGCCGGCTATGGCAACGGCTGGCGACCGGATACAGGCGACAAACGAGCTCGCCGATTTGGTAAGGCCGAGGCCATGCCAGCCTCTGGTGAGCTTCGAGCCTCTGGTAGCCAAGCGGGCGAGCTCGCCGGTAGGTCCCTCCCCCCGCTTTGCTCCCTTTCGGTTTTGGCCTCCTCGGAGCTGTTCGCACGAGATTGACGAGCTCCGGCGCCGTTTTCGGGTGTAGGGGGAAGAAGCAGCGGCCGGTCGGAATCTTCAACGTCGTCCGGAAAGCTTTGAGGCTAGTGCCGTGAGCTGCGGTGGAGTTGTCATCGCAGAGGGTCGTCAGGTAAAATTTGAATTGCTACTCCTCTGCGAAATCTGCCATTCGAGCTTATTGCCGTTAGAAACTGAGTGTTAGGAGGCGAGCAGAAGAATTGTTAATGCCGTTCAATTTGCGATTCAGCTTGAGATAAGCTACTGCTGTTCGTTCTGGTCAAAAACGGGTTTGATTGAAACGGAGCCGTTCGATTCGAGATCGAATGAGGCTATGGTAGGCGGCTTAAGAACGTTCGCATGTATTTGTAGCTTATCGCTGCGAAAGATGTTCATTTGTGGATGAAAATTTGGAAATGGTTTGTGTTCTTAGGCTTTTTGCAGCTGCTGTTATGTCGAAAAATTTAAGAACGTTCGCATGTATTTGTAGCTTATCGCTGCGAAAGATGTTCATTTGTTGATGAAAATTTGGAAATGGTTTGTGTTCTTGGGCTTTTTGCAGCTGCTGTTATGTCGAAAAATTTGAATTTTGTTGTGAATTAAATGAGTCATTTTCGCAAATTCCCATACTTTTTATAGTTTTTATCACAGGTTTGGTTAAGTCTTATACTGGAATCACCTTGCTCTGTGGAGGCAGCATTTTGTCTCATTCATACTGTCCCTGCAGTTCAATAAGCGGTTCAGTTTTCAGATCATTGGTTTTTTTTTTTTTTCTGCTGATATATTGATCAAGTTTAGTTTTTTCTGCTTTTAAATCCTTGAGCCAGCTGGAAGAAGCACGGCATTTTCATAACCAAATGAGTGTTCTGTCTAACTGTTTAAACCTTTTTCGGTAAAATATTTACACACGATGCATGGATATTTTGTTGTGTAGTTACTTCATACCCAACATGTTATTTTTCGCATAGCGCACAATGTTTCACCGTGTTATTGGCATAATTTGTTTTCCTCTTGGCACTTGTCGGAATTGTTCATTCCTACTGCGGTAGAGCTTGATATACTGGCTATTTATTACTGGTCAAAATACTCAACTTATTGGCAATATAATCTTTCTCAGATGCAAAGTATTCAATCTTTACACTTCTCGTCGCATCTCTGAGTTAAAGCTCTAATTTTTCCCTTGCATCAAGGCCTCCCAGCTGTAGCTAGTCCAAGCAACTCATTGAGATTCTGCAAGATGCTTCCATAGAGTTTAGTTTTTTTTTTCAAGTTGTTGTCAAGTCTTCATATGTGGCTTGAGTAATTAATTATAGCGATTACCAAATTATTTGTTCATTCTCAAACACATTTCCACTTTAGAGCATTTCTTATTTTCTTACTCAAGTACGGTAAATCTCTCTTTGAATTATTGATAATCTGCATTCCTTAGCTTCAAGCCTCTCTCTTCACTCAAGATCAAGGTTGATTGTGATGATGAGTTGATTTTGTGCTTCGGCAATTGTTTTTTGTTTATTCTATATTAGTCATATAAGATGTTTTTCCTCCCTTCATTTTTGGTATTCTAGGAGGAGATGGTAGAGTGGGTTTGGTAATTACATGCATTATAGAAGGAGCCCTAGCGTTTTGTCTCCCCGTATTTATTTTCGGTGAGTTGTTTCATGTTCTTTTCTTTTCTTTTTCTTATTTTATTTTGCATATGATTGTTTGGTTTTGGATGATGATACATTTACTCTTAATGAATCCTCATATAATGGTATGAGATGTAATCTTGACTGCTTTTACCACACAGAAATGCTTTCTTGTTGGGTAAGATGAACAATGGAATTTGCTGAATAACAGCTCTACATAATATGAAACCCCATGTAAAAGTCATCAAAGCCCATTGCACGTAGCTGCGGTCTGCCTTCCACATGTGTTCATCTTTAAAGGAGACAAAATTGGAGGGCCACTAAAAACTAAATGAGCATCAAACTGAAGGTGCCTTAACAAAAGACGATTAAACTGTTATGAAGACCTATAAAGGTTATCTTTCCTTCCCAACTATCTACTCGTCATCTTCCTTCCCTCACTATATTTCTCTTCATTTGTCACCGAAGAGATAGACTTTCTGGACTCACCATCTTCTGTTGTATCTTCAATTGTCTTTTGTTGTAAGCTTTTAATATTGAGGAATTGAGTGGTGATGATAATGTGTGTGGTGTTTGCTTAAAGGATATAAATCTCTAAATGTATTTCCAAGTCGATATATCTTATCCGGTATAAAATAGGTTGACAGGAAAGCACAAAACTCTATTAGCTTTAGCTCTCTGGCAATTTTTTGTTTATGTTGTGTATTTTGAAAATCACTCTCATGGTTAATAATGCCAAATTAACCATGTCGCTTTTTCGATTTTGTTTGTCCAGTCTGGGTAAAATTTTTCCTTTATTTATATTGGATGTTTTGAAAATCACTCTGATGGTTGCTGATGTCAAATTGTTTGTGTCGCATTTTCTCTTTTGTTTGTCCGTTCTGTAGTGGATCTCTCTCTCTCTCTCTCTTCATAGACACAAATATAGTCGAATCTTTACTGGATCACCATGTACTAGCCACTGTTTTTTCCAATGACCGATTCTCTCTCTTTCTGCTTTTCAAGTTGAAATGTTTTTTCTGTTTCTACAGTATGCCTGATTCTTGTGGACTACCAGGCTACCTTGTGTTTGCCATTGGAAGTTTCATTTTAGAACCTGAAGTACTTAATCTATTTGCCGATGTAAACTCTATAGGTTCTCTTGTTTTATTGGGATGACGACTGAGGGAGGGAAAAGCTTTGCAAGAAGGGATCGTCTGTTGGAGATTGAGGCTACTGTGCGAACCTGGTGGACAGAAAAAGACATTTTCGGTGCTGAATCTTGTGAAAAACCTCCTGAACAGGGTGAAAAGTTTTTTGGCAATTTTCCATTTCCATATATGAATGGTTTTTGCATCTTGGACATGCATTTTCGCTTTCGAAGCTTGAATTTGCCGCAGCATATCACAGACTAAGAGGGGCAAATGTGCTTTTGCCATTTGCTTTTCACTGCACTGGTATGCCCATCAAGGCAGCGGCTGACAAACTGGCCAGGGAGATCCAACAGTTCGGTGATCCTCCAGCATTTCCAAGTGAAGAAGAGAATCAGGTCAACCAAGAATTGGAAACAGAGGAGCAAAATGCATCTGAACCAGCCATGAAAGACAAGTTCAAAGGGAAGAAATCTAAGGCTGCATCAAAATCAGGTGGGCAGATGTATCAGTGGGAGATTATGCGTAGTCTTGGCCTCTCAGATAATGAAATATCAAAATTTCAGGATCCTTACAACTGGTTGAGTTTCTTTCCTCCATTAGCTATGGATGATCTCAAGGCTTTTGGGTTGGGTTGTGATGGAGACGTTCCTTCATCACCACAGATATGAACCCATTTTTTGACTGCTTTGTAAGGTGGCAAATGAGGAAGTTGAAATCTATGGGTAAGATTGTGAAAGATCTGCGGTACACAATTTACTCTCCTCTAGATGGCCAACCATGTGCAGATCATGACCGGGCAACTGGTGAAGGAGTTCAACCTCAGGACTACACTCTAATAAAGATGGAGGTAGTTCGACCATTTCCACCAAAAATGGGAGTTTTAGAAGGGAAAAGAGTGTTCTTGGCTGCTGCAACTTTGAGACCGGAGACCATGTATGGGCAAACAAATGCATGGGTGTTGCCCGATGGCAAATATGGAGCTTTTGAAATCAATGATACCGATGTGTTCATTGTTGCACAGAGGGCAGCCCTCAACCTGGCCTACCAGAGATTCTCCAAGATTCCAGAGAAGCCTACTTGCTTGGTGGAGCTGACGGGTTACGATCTTATTGGTCTTCCCTTGAAGTCACCACTTTCATTTAATGAGATTATCCATGCTCTACCCATGCTGACTATCCTTATGGACAAAGGAACTGGGATCGTGACTAGTGTACCCAGTGATGCTCCTGACGACTACATGGCATTGCATGATTTGAAAGCAAAGCGAGGTCTCAGGGAAAAGTATGGCGTGAAGGATGACTGGGTATTGCCCTTTGAGATTGTGCCAATCATTAATATTCCAGAATATGGAGATAAGGCTGCGGAAAAAGTCTGCAAAGATATGAAAATTAAGAGTCAGAATGAAAAGATAAGCTCGCAGAAGCAAAGCAGAAGACATACTTGAAAGGATTTACTGAAGGAACTATGCTTGTGGGGGAATATGCAGGAATGAAAGTGCAAGAAGCAAAGCCATTGATCAGAAGCATGCTTACAGAGACTGGACAGGCTATTATGTACAGTGAACCTGAAAAAAGGGTTATGTCAAGGTCAGGTGATGAATGTGTTGTTGCTCTTACAGATCAGTGGTACATCACTTATGGGGAATCTGAATGGAAGAAGTTGGCTGAGGAATGCCTTTCTAACATTAATCTGTATTCCGATGAGACACGACACGGCTTTGGGCATACATTGGGCTGGCTAAACCAGTGGGCTTGCTCACGATTGTTTGGCCTTGGCACTCGCATCCCTTGGGACGAGCAATTCGTCGTGGAGTCATTATCCGACTCTACTATTTACATGGCTTACTACACGATAGCCCACCTCTTGCATAAAAATGATATGTATGGTTCTAGCACTTCAATGAAACCTGAACAAATGACGGATGAGGTGTGGGATTTTGTTTTCTGTGGTGGTCCCAACCCTCAATCATCTGATATTCCATCTTCTGTGCTTAACCAGATGAAGCAAGAGTTTGAATATTGGTATCCTCTTGATCTAAGAGTATCTGGCAAGGACCTCATCCAGAATCATTTGACATTCTGCATTTACAATCACACGGCAATCATGTCTAAGCGACATTGGCCTCGTGGATTCAGGTGCAACGGTCACCTCATGCTCAATTCTGAAAAGATGTCGAATTCTACAGGGAATTTCAAAACGTTGCGCCAGTCCATTGAGGAATTTTCTGCAGATGCCACACGATTTTCTCTGGCTGATGCTGGTGACGGTGTTGATGATGCCAACTTTGTAACTGAGACCGCAAATGCTGCAATTTTGAGGCTCACAAAGGAACTTTCATGGATGGAAGAAGTTCTGGATGCAGAATCCTCTTTGAGAACTGGTCCGCTGTCTACTTATGCAGATAGAGTGTTTGCTAATGACATGAATATCGCTGTCAAACTGAGTGAACAGCAATACCAGGATTTTATGTTCCGCGAAGCTCTCAAGACTGGCTTTTATGATCTTCAGGCTGCTAGAGATGAATACAGACTGTCGTGTGGTACTGGTGGCATGAACCGAGATCTGTTGTGGAGGTTTATGGATGTGCAAACACGACTTATCGCTCCTATTTGTCCCCATTATGCAGAATATGTGTGGAGGGTACTTCTCAAAAAGGATGGTTTCGTGGTGAAAGCAGGCTGGCCTCTTGCTGAGTCTCCAGATCTAACCCTCAGGAGCGCCAATAAGTATTTGCAAGACTCGATTGTCTCGATGAGGAAGCTGCTTCAGAAACAAATTTTTGGCTCGAAAAAGGCAAACAAGGGAGCCCCAGTTACCTCACAAACAGAAGAAAAGCTCAGAGGTTTGATTTACGTAAACGAACAGTATGATGGATGGAAAGCTGAGTGCCTAAGGATACTGCAGAACAAGTACAACAGGAAAACACGTTCCTTTGCGCCGGATGGCAAGATAATGGATGCTCTGAAGCAGAGCAGTGTAGGCCAGGCCAGCGATTTCAAGAAAATCCAAAAGCTTTGCATGCCCTTTTTGAAGTTCAAGAAAGATGAAGCAATAACTCTTGGTGCTCAAGCTCTGGATCTGAAGCTCCCCTTTGGAGAGATTGATGTTCTTGAAGAAAGCGTGGACTTAATTAGGAGGCTGCTTGGTCTTGAAGAAGTGGAAGTTTTGTCGGCGGCGGACCCCAATGCTCTAACAATGGCCGGTAATCTTGCCTTGCTACTGCAACAGAATCCGCCATCTCCTGGAAATCCTACCGCCATCTTTTTGGCTAGGTAAAGCTGCGCTTTGAATACTTTGATCTAGTGTTAGCTTGAGCAGTTCCAATTTGTTTCAAAGTAGTGATGGATTGGGATTTGAAGTTTTGTGTTTTATGCATTTACAAGAGAAAACCATAGGTTCTGAACCTCCCCTTCCCTTTTTTTTGTTGGGTTTTTTTAATTATCCCTTGGTATAAACTATAAACTCAATAGTTCTGAATTCGAGGGAAGATGATGATGCAATACTATGCTAGCGGTGTCGCTCGTCAGTTGTAGATAGGACTCGGCTCCATGCCATTGTTGTCCTTATATATCCTCGAACAATTATGCAACCAGAATTTCTCCATGATTGTAGTTTGCCATCTCTCTCGGAGACATACAAACCTAACTCGCAAGTTTTTTCACTTCGCACGTGAAGCGATAGAATTTCCCAAGCTGTGTGTTTGAGTTCTCGTTGTCACTTGGGCAACCAGTCATCTTAATCACAGGGATTGGGCGTGACCCAAGTTATTCCTCACAGCGAATACCAAGTTGCAGGCTTCGTGCCTCGTCTTTTTTCATTTCTCTTTTTTCTTTACGAAGTGGTAAGGTCTGATGAGCTCGTTTATCGTTGGATTACAAGTCGGGAAGTCTTTTCACTAGAGGCTCGAATGCCAAGAGGCACATGGTGGTAAGCTTACAACATTTGTGGTGAGAGGAAAGAGTAATTATAGAATGACTATTTTCTAGAATGATATGTTGGGATGAGTATAATGTTACAGGAATATACGTTCGTGTTTTAACCAGTCAACAACAGAGTGAGTTGTCGATTTTTCTTCGCCCTTGTATGGTAGAACGAATGGAGAAGAGATGAGATTGCGGTGCTTCATGGGACGATCCATGACATGTAGAATTGAGCGTAAGCAGAGACTCGGCCGATCTATTACTGAATGCAACCAACTCTTGACTCCATCTAAATTTTGTTGGTCACTTTTGGACTTTTATTTGGTTCGAAACACCTAAATAAAACCACTCAAAATATTCAAATTTGGACATGTAAATCGATAGTTTCTATTCAATACAATTTTTTCTATTGTCAGAAAAGTCGTGGTCAGAAGTGAAAAGAAGTTGAAAAATGCACGCTAACAAATAATATCTTACAGACCTAATTTGAATGACCTGTTACCCGTAGGAGAGAACGTACAAGGAGAGTGAAATAATGAACTGAAATATGTTAACTAATATAGACGGTAAGACACATGATGTATGGTTGTCATAAATATTACGATAAAAAATAGTAAATAAGTTAAAAATTATAAATTATGGCTACGAGAATACCAACGAACATCCTCTATATAGTCAAGTTTAGGAAAAATTACCAAAGGTACTAAACTTTTTATCCGGCGACCAATTCATTTCTAAGCTTTTCAATTGTGCCAATTTAGTTCTAAACATTTCAACAATTTATCAAATGTAGTCATTCTGGCAAATTTTGATCGGAAATCGTTGACGTGGGCATCGGTCATTCTATTTGGCACGGCCGGCCGGCGTTGATATAGACAAATTTTTCAATTTTTTTAGAAATTTTTGTGAATATTTTTGTTTTCTTTTGTTTTTTTTTTCCAACTCTGGGACGGTAAGGTCACCGGGCAACCATCGCCGGCCAACATTTCTCTATGAAGGCAGGAACCAAGGAAGGGTCATCTAAAATCAATGAATTTTAATCAGGAATTCTCATGATGATCTCTCTAATGAACAATGTTTTCAGCATAAACGCATGAAATTGTTATATTCAGACCACCAAGAGAAGTGAAAACTATAGCTAAGATTAGAAACATCAAGATTTGGGTGGGTCAGCAGTTAGGCCTACATTCTTGAGCGAAGAATGGGTCATTTTGAGTAGTACGATAAAATAAGTATAAATGAGAATCAATTTATAGCGCCATCGCCATTGTGGATCCCCATTGTCCCCTACTCTTAGATGTGTGTGTGTCCACGCAAGACCTCAAACCATAACCGATCAGAGGTAGCCTGTTTTGCGACCACAAAACGACCTTGACCCGAAGTTCGCGATCCTCGTGGTGACGAGAATAAATGTCGATGGCGACGAAGGGACAAGAGTCATAGATGGCAATGGACGGCCACAAGGCGGTGGCGGGGTCGCACATAGTGCATCTAACTTTCTCAAGTCCAAACAAATGAATTAACTAAATTCCCCAGCCGAATGATCAGCAATAACTTCAGCATAAGAAGTTCAGTTCAACTTCGATAGAGTTAAGGAAGCACTTCCCATACAGAATACGTGGTTAGTGCCAGTGTTTAGATTCAATAGAATAAAAGAGCAGAAAAAGGGCAAATAATGGCAGTAGGATTTCGTTGACTAACCTACTTTGGATGTCCGTGGAGATAATTTCAAGAACGACTTTAAGATGGCCAAGTTGATTTGCCATAGATACAAAAACAAGCCAACAAATGGCCGCTTTTCAATAACATATTCACCATTAAGTTCCTACAATTAGAACTTCGCTATAGTTCTCTAGCGTTTGGATGATTATATTTTCATTACCAGTTTACAGACATTGAGATGGCGGTTACGGTCAAACGGTGTGCAGCAACTGGAGTGGGCTACACCAATGCATTCCTTATTTCAACGTGCCGGTGTCCGCACGCCCTAGTCCACCCATGTTGAAATAGTTTCTTTTTCTTGCCCTGTCCCCGACGATACCCTCTTATTTCTTTACATCCCGAGGTCCAGATGTAGCCTTTTAGCGACATGCTAAGGTCCGTCGGCCATGCAATGTGCAATGGGGTGCTTTGTCATGACGATTGCAGTGCATGCCCGAGAGCCGATTGGAAAAGAATAGGTAAAGACTGCCGATAAAAACCATTGATTTGAATTCCAAGATTGCTTGATCCGATATAGACATTATTTTTTTATCTATTGAATTGTTCTTGATAAAGAAAAAGCACATATTCTCTTCATTAAATATTGAGCATACAGATTTGTCCTCGTTGGCTTAGTAATAAAAGGATTAGCTGTCTTTCACGAGATCACAAGTTCGATGGATGTTAGGAGGCAACTTCTGAACAACTCTTACTGCGTTGCCTAAGTGTGTCATATCTCATGTGAAAAGACTTATTGACAGCGAGCATCTTGACGTCGTTGTGGTGACTGGCTCGCTAATTTGAGACCTTTGGATTGCGGGTAAAGCAGAGTAACTACATCTCAAAATGAACATTCCATAATAGGTGTGTAACGCCTAAAAGGGATGGCTAGCTCTGGTCACTCCTCTCTTATCTTTTTATTTATACAACAACAAAGGTAGCGAAGTAATGTACAACTACAAATGGATAATTAAGGAGTGGATAAATAATTGTTGTACATAGTGCATCTAAGTTTCACTAGGGAAATTGTCCAATCAGTCCTTTAGTCTTAAACTATTCAATTTTGATAATTTAGTCATAAATCTTTGCGCAAAATTACATAAAAGTCATTCTAATTTATTTCACCGGAAATCACTGACGTGACGGTGTGCCATGTAAGATGGTTAGCGATAACTAGACCGCTACTAGAAATTTGATCTAATTTAGCCATATAGACCATGTATAGAAAGATATATATGACATAAACTTCTACTCTCATAAGAACAAAAAAAAATTAAAAATACTCAAGCCTATCAAGATTTATAACATTAAGAGGGAAATTTACGAAATGTACCAAATGCCAACAAAGGATCAGATGAAGCATGTAAATGCGGATACCTTATAACATCACTTGAAATCTTGTCATTCAGATAAGATGTGCTGATAATTTGAAGAGACGGTGAAACTCGACTAAAAAGAGTCTTTTCTCAGACATTCTTTTCATTTAACTACTTGTTGAGTGTATATGGGTGATTAAATTTTTTACTACACCATCCAACATGATTGTAGATAGATTAGCTACAATTCTTTAGATTTACATACATTTTCTTATTTCCTAAAAAAAATAAAAAGAGTGTCAAAAACCCTATTGTAACTCTACGGATGGATGGGATATTGCATGTTCTGTATAACTTCCTTCAAGGGGTTTAACATATACTTCTTGAATTTTCATCTGTATTACTACCCAATAATGGATTGATTTGCAAAATTCGCAATAAAAAACTACTTTATTTGGTTATGATGTAATCGTGAGCCGTTTGATACATTTTGTTTCGAATTTTAAATTTGCGACTCGCTTATCTTAAATTTTTTAAATGGTAATCAGAGAAGGCGATGAATACTCGATTTTAAATTAATCCCGTGTCGTTAATGATTTGGAAATCACAACAATGTACACATATCATGGTTATTAGCTAATCTACTTTGTTCACACCTAAATTTTGATGACCCAATTAGTTAATTTTCGCATAAAAAATTAGGGATCGATCCTGATCTCTAGAAAAAAATATATTAATTAAAATGTATATAGATATTAGAAGCATTTGCATAGGCTCATATGGTTGCATTTGCATTGCACCGGCGGTGGATGGACTCGAGTGAATGGCTCTGAACTTAATGAAATTGGACTAATTAAGCTCGCATTCAAGAAAATTCTTGGCCAGCCCATGAGTATTATAAGAGCCGAAGTTTTCCCATTGGATAATTGAGCAATGAATCTTGATTATTATTCAAATCTTGGAAGATAATTATTCGATTTTGTTTGATATTATCAGGATTCTAAGAGATAATGAAATTTTCATATCAGTAAAGTATATACCTTAGAATTTAAAATTGGGAGTTTTAATCTAAACCTAGCAACATATAAAGGGACACCCATTCACGTTCGAGGGAGGAGGCCACAAAAAAAAATTTAAGAAACACACGGCTAGAGAGAGAGAGAGAGAGAGAGAGAGAGAGAGAGAGAGAGAGAGAGAGAGAGAGAGAAGCGTGAGAAAAGAAGGTGAAAAGAGCCCAAGAAACTAGGGGTGAGCGGTTCCCGGTCCGGTCCGGTTCCAAGGTGGAACCGGGAACCGGACCGAGAGAACCGGTTCCCAAAATTGGGAACCGCGGACCGGACCGGTTGGTTCTAGGACCGGGAACCGGACCTGACCGTCGGTCCGGTCCGGTCCAATGGAACCGGTTACTTAGAGTTTAGGGTTTTTTTTTTGTCAAACACTTAAGGTTTGGTTCACATTTTACTAATTTTTGTCAATGAAGTTCACTTAGAGTTTAATTCACATTTTACTATTTTTTATCAATGAATTTATGATAATGAAGTTCACTTAGAGTTTAGTTCACATTTTATTAATTTTTTTAAAGAAAAAAATAACAAAAATATATATTAAATAGTCGGTCCGGTTCGGTCGGTCCGGTCCGGTCCGGTTCCCCCTTGGAACCGGGAAC